GCAAAACAACTTTTTTTAACAAATAAAAAACATATTAACCACGCAAATTCAACGTGATTGTTCTTGACATAAGAAACGAAATAACTACATGTTGTGTTTTTTCTTGTATACAAAAAAACTATGAAATATTCTCTCTATCTAAATGCTAGAGACCTAGTCATTTGCACCATCTTATTCAGCCACTTCACTATCCTGATAGCAGTTCTTTGTTCGTTGTAAGAAGTTACCTGCCAATAGATAGTAAAAATATATTTTGGGAGGAAATAAGAAAAAAAAGTTGAAAAAGGATTAGGCCAAGCATATATAGGCGGCATCTCGTCGAAGAAACTGACTGATCAATTTACTCAATACGAATCACTTTGTTTGCTTTCCTTTGAAAATCATTTTTGGCAAGTCACTTTTCACTTTTTACAGTTATAGTCAACATCTCTCTGTTCTTCCTTTCACACACACTATACCCTGTACGTATATTATACGTACAGGAGATATTCTTTCTCTTCTGTTAAATTTTGTTAAATTTAACACAACGTAAGAGGTCAAAGGTTATTCAGTACAAAATGAATAATGATAATTATTACAATATGACGTCTTACCAGAAAGACCAATTAGCAAATGGAGAGTATTTAAATAAAACAATTCAACAGTTTCGATCACAAGAACAACAGCAACAAGGAAATCAAACTAAAAGACAACTTCAATACGAAGATGAAGATCAATTTAATGACGAAATGCACGAATTTGATCCCGAATTCGAAACACCAAACAAGAAAAGAAAACAACATCAAAATAATAATAATAACAACCAGAATCAGAACAATCAACATGCAGCAACTACATTCACCTTCACAAACACTTTACGATCACGCGACATTCGAAACACGAACCAAAGACCACCTCAAAACAGAAGTAATAATAATCAGAGAAACGGACAACAGCAACAACTACAAGGACGAAACGACAATAATCTGGGAAATGAACAGCAACAGCAGCAAGGACGAATAAGCCGTTTTGCGTTAGACTATGCTGCCAACTCCCATTTTCAATCGTTTAAAATCGAGTGTAATCCAAAAATAACTGATCCTAAACAGGCAACAAAGTTCATTCAGGAATTGACTAACAGCATTAAACCTGAATTTTTAAAACAAAATCCAATGTACTCACGTGCTGTTCAGTTCGATTTATGGTGGTTAGATAAAAATAATGATCTGGAAATTATAATTAAATCTACTGAATTATATGTCTATCTGTGTAAGCCGGATCGTTTTCCAAAGAAAATAATGAACATTGAACTCAAATCGTCTCCTCCTAAACACCTTCCACCACAGCATACTGCAATATTAAAATGGTTAAGTAATACAGTGTCTATTGAAGATCTGAAATTTAATTCGATTTTTTCGATCGAAGAAATGATAGGAACCGTAACAAATCGAACTCGACACGTGAAAATTGAACTCTTGGATAAAAAAGAATATGATGATCTATTAAACGGTGGCCAACTGAATGTGCAAGGTAATCTGTATGACGTTGATGAGTTCTTACCTTCGCCTAAACTTCTGATCTGTTCAAAATGCAATTTGCCTGGACACACTCAAAAAATGTGTCAAGTTTCGAATTTTGACGTGTGTAAAAGATGTGGAGGTGATCGTATAAATCTTGCTGAACATAAAAACTGTCAAATCAAATGCCACAACTGTCAAGGTGACCATGTCTCAACAGACTTTAGATGCCCAGTGATACAAGATTTTCGAAGACAGTTAATTGACGAACTTAGAAAACATCCTGAACGTCTTCCTCCTGACACCCAACTCTTCATTCCGTCTGACTTTCGTCAACAAAATGATCGTACAAAATCGATACAAAGTCTTAAATCTACAGCTCCTGTACTCGTTCCACTTCTGCAGATCGTAATAATTTGGCAGCTTATCCTCCACTTCAGTCTTCTACCGCACCAAACTTTCCTCAGACTACTTCAATCGTCACTTCAAACTTTAGTGAGACGATAAAATCGTTTAGAGATGAATTAAATCAGATTAAAACAAAATACGAAGAGGAACAAAAGCGGATCAAAGAAAAATATAAAGATTATTTATTATCCATGAATCAAGGACTGCTTGTGATTCAACAAGAAATTCAAACTCAGAAGGAAATGATCACATCACTGAGTAATGCTGTGGATCAAACTCTCTTCTCTACGTGTGAAAAAACCACGTCTATTATCTGTAATGTCCTAAAGAAAATTAAAAAAGCCATCAACGCAAATGAACTGGACGGCGAAACTGAACTCGTTACACAACATCTCTCTTTGATCAACACTTTTGCAGCATCTTACCTCAAAAATCGTCTCTCACTCGAATCACTCTCCACAAAACAAAATGAATCTCTAACTCAACTGCTAAATACTCTTTTCGTTTTACCAAATGATTAGACATCCCTACGTCAACAAAAGAATGGCAGAAATTTTCAACGGAACAGTGAGTGAAAAAAAGACATTGAGTGAGATGATGGATGAGTGGAATGAGAGTGAGTCAGTGAGCAGCTTATGTGAGAGCTGGAGGAAAGTCAGGCCTTTAACTACGTCAGAAAATCTTGTACTTCTGCTTTGAAACTGTCAGGGACTTAGTACTCATCAAAGCGATCTTGATCTTCTTCTTTCTATTTACAAACCACATGTTTGTGTACTAACTGAAGTTGGAAAGCAAATTAGAGAGCTGCCTCGTATCCCTAATTACTATTGGCACAGCGAAGCCGGAACAAATCCACACGGCGGGGTCGCATTTTTAATTCATCAAAAATTAAAAAGTCAAGTTTTGGACAGGCAGAAAAACTTTTTATTAGTCGAAATCGATACTCTCTCGTCTAAACGAATTTTTGGTGCAGTTTACATTCCTCCTAAATCTCTTCCCCCTTTTGAAGTTTTTGAAAAACATAAAGAAAAAAACGTTTTTATTTTCGGAGACTTTAACGCTAAAAATGAAGCTTGGCTTTGCCAAAACAACAACAAAAGCGGAACTGAATTGCAGGAATGGCTGGAGAAGGAAGGATTTATGGTCCTTCATTCGTCGAAAGCTACATCTAAAAGATCAAATTCAATCATTGACTTCGGAATAGGAAAAGACTCTTCAGGCTGGAGTGCAGACAATTTGGAAGAGGGCAATTCTGATCACTTTCCTGTCTTGTTTCAGACGCCTTTTTGTGCGGGAGAAAACGGTGTTTTTCGAAGAACAAAGTGGAATGTTTATCACTTTTTTTTGAAAACAGTTTTTGAATTTTGGAACGCCTATGTGTATGACTCAGACTACAACACCTTTTTCGACTCTTTCTCGCTTTTTTTGGCAGCTGTCTTTGACAGATGCAGTACCTTTGAGAATACAAAAATGTTTAGGCCTCCGTGGCCACCTCATTTAGTTTCATTAGCAAAAACAGTAAACAAAGCAAAAAGGAAATTTAGGCGGACACGTTTTTTGCTAGACTATGAGGAGTTTAGATACTACAAAGAAATGTTCCAGGCAGAAAAAGTTATTTATGAGCAAAACCGGCGTGAAAAAAAGTTAATGCGTATGAAGGAAGGAAATAACATTTGGTCTTTTGTGAAAGACACTTTTTCACCATACACTCCTTCCTTTCGCAGTCTCAAAGTGGCTAATACCATTTTACGAGACAATCAGAAAATAGTCGACAGACTTGCCGACCACTACGAAAAACATTTTGCTTTACCTGTGCACGATAAAAACAACAAATTTCATCAAGAATGTCTATCTGCTTTTAAAGAATTAGGAGAAACCAAAAATTTGCCTCTTGAAAAAATAAAATTTGAGGAAGTGCACAAATCGTGGAAAGCTTTCAAACCAAAAAAATCTTTAGATAGTACAGATACGTCTGCCTTTCTGCTGAAGGAACTTCCTCCGGAGTATCTAAACCCAATCTCAGTTCTTTTTAATCGATGCGCGGAGAGTGGAAAGTTTTTTGAGACGGGTAAGAGGGCAAAGGGGATTTGTCTTTCGAAAGATGGAATGTTTCCTACAGAAGACCGTTTGCGGTCTATTTCCTTGTTGCCCAATTTAGCGAAATGCTTTGAAAGAATAATGGCTGAGAGAATCGAGAACTGGTGTAAGTCAAAGGGCATACAAGTTGACGAACAGTCTGGTTTTATGGCCCAAAGACGACTCCAGACTCGTATTCTCTCAATCATTGAAGATATTCGATTGACAACAGCTGCCTGTAATAGGCCTGCGTTAGCAATCTTTGTTGACTTTCAAACTGCTTTCGATAAAATGTGGTACCCAGCTCTCATGAAAACGCTAAAAGAGTTGGAGATGCCGTTTGACATGCGCAAGTGGATATATGAATGGTTGAAAGACCGTTCTATGTTCATTGGCCATGGCGATGCGCGCTCTCGAACTTTCAACATTTTTGCTGGAGCACCTCAGGGATCTGTATTGGCAGCATTACTATTTAGACTGCATGCAATAGGAAAGAATTTTCCGGTCTTCTTTCTAGTCTTCATAAAGGTGACCAAACTGCTTAATTAAAATTTTTTTTAAAAAAATAAATAAATTGTAATATTAATCCAGAATGTTGGATGTCGGTATAACCATACAATTTTGAAGTAATCAGTTGATGACCGTCGATTTGGTTCATTTTTTTTCCACATTTAAGAACTGTAGGGTGCTGGAAAGTCAAACTTCGAGTTGAAATTCGTTTCCAATTTATCTATACATAGTTGGATATAGCTCATTGAGCTGACCAACTATATGTTCAGATAGTTTTTCGTGAAAATCTCGATAATTTTTTTTCAACGTGAAAATTCAAAAAACATTAAAGTAGGCGATTGGGATAGAAATACATGTCAATCAGGTCAGTTTCTGGTCCTGATTCCGAATATGATATTTTGATTGCATAAAACATGACTTTTGGTGGAGAAGCAAAATCCTGACGTTTTTGCCTCTGATTTAGAAAAAGTCAAATGTCTCAGCAATGGAAAGGAATTTTGAAAAACGCTTTCCGTCCCATGTCAAAACTTTTTCGCGATTTCTGCAGAAAAGTGCGTTTTTTGGCACTTTTGTGGCCACACGAACGCAACACCAAAAAACGCATTATTCGTATATGCATTTTCTTGCGGTGTATTTTTTCACGCAAAAACGAACAGAAAAACGATAGTTTTGTCGTTTATCGCAGAATCTGTTTTGCATTATGCTGCGTGTGGTCAGCGGGTCGGGCCGCGAGGGTTGCCTATGGCCGGGTTCGATAGATCTGCCCGTGATACCGTTTTCAGAACATCGCATGAACCTTTAAGGTAGCTACGCGAGTAACATTTTTTGCATGAAAAACGACGATCTTTTCTTGCATTTTATCGCAAAATTTTTGGTCTTGGAGAAAGATGCAGAAGAAATTCATGCGTGTGATGTTACGTGAGACACGGAAATTTTACTGCAGGTTATTGCAAAACAACGGACGCGAATTTCTGCAGTTTTTTGCATTAAATATCTTTCGAAATTTCGACATGGGGTATTGCTTTTGCCCGTGTAACGACGAATCGAATGCAGTGTAAATAAGGGCTTCGTCCGAAGACACAAAAAACTAGATTGGTTGACTATTCCCGTTCCGCCTTTTGACTGAAAAGTTTTTGATGGCGTTATATTTCAAAAGCGAATTACGATACTTTTAAAAAATATTTCAAATTTTCTCTCTCAAAAAGTCTTTGAAATACTAACACACAGATATAGTTAGTCAGCTCAATGAGCCCTATCCAACTATGTATAAATAAACTCAAAGAACTGAACCTAACCTATCATTGGTCATCCTTCATAGACAACCTCAAAGCACACCTCAAAGCTTTGTTTAACCTTATATAGTAGATAGATGGGTAGAGATGAAGAAGAAAAAGATTCTAGACGCAAGCATAAATTTGTTCCCTTTCTTTACAAATAGACAAAGACGTTTCTTTTTGTGTTTTTAAGAAGAGAAAGCCTTGTGATTCACCATTAAATGCAAGTACGTAACGTGATGTCATTCTGAATGAAATTCACCACCTGGGTCACGAAAAAGTGTTTTAGAAATACGTTTGGATAGATAAGTAGCGGTCACTGTATTGTTTAATTTTGGTTCGAAACTCAAAATGGCTAACTTCGACAGAAGACGATAAATGCTGTCATCTCGTAAGAGTAGATATGCACCAGTTAAAAACTGCTGTTTGAGCTTCCTCGAAATTGTTATAAATCGCCGATAAACTACTCAGAGCCGCGGAGCAACTCATTGTGTAGAGAAATGTTTGGACTATAATCCCATATAAGTAGAAAAATCTTACAGTTATCTATGGTATCAAAATATAAGGATTCTAAAATGCACTAAATTCAGAAAAAAACCCTGTTCGAACAGGTTTTTTTCTAACTTTAGAATGCTCACACTTTTCTTAGAAATAATTTCAAGTGTTTATTCACAGCTTAGTTTTCAACCGCAAACATTTCTTTACAAAACGAGGCGTTCCGCGACTCTGAGTAGTCCTTTATAGGCGATTAATAACAATTTTTGTGAAGCCCTAACAGCAGTTTTTAACTCATGTATACCAGTTAAGAGAACTCCGAAACCGTCCCAATTAGTGGAATGATTAGCGTCAATGCAATGTTCGCATCTTTCTATGTCCGTATCTCAAAACCGATTTTTCGACCGAAAATCACCATTTCTGAGGGGAGGAGCTTTAAATAATCTATTTTATCGCATTATGAAGACTTTTTTCTTTTCAAACGAAAGCAAAACGACACTGAATCGGACTATGAAACGGCTGGGAAAGACTTTTATGGTTGCGAAAATGCTCTTTGGTTTTATCGTGGGTTACGACTATCATCGCTGGAGCTGGACAAATTGAAAGAAAATATTGGTGAGCTAATATCACCAAATGGATTTTTTTCGACAACTCTGTCGCGTGAGGTTGCACTTATGTATGCAAATCCAGAGTGGCAGCCATCAGATGGATCTCAGTCGGTGTTATTTAAAATTAGATGTGAGCCTGGATCCGCCATATGTGTTAGCATTGCCCAGTTTAGTTTCCATCCCGACGAGGAGGAAGTTCTTTTCGATCTGGGTTCAACATTTCGCGTAGAATCTATTGACCAGGATAAGACAACTGGTATGTACTGCATACATATGGAAGCTACACGCGAGGGCTTCGATATAGCGGAACGGTATATTGAATTGAACAGAAAACGGATGCAAGAAAATAGTGTTGTTCTCATGTTTGGCAGTTTATTAGCGAAAATGGGGCAATATGACGAGTGTCATGAGTATTTTGTCGGCCTCGCACAAAATCCGAGAGGTAAAGATCTGGTTGTTATTTATAACAGCATCGGACGAGCGCATTATCTAAGAAGTGAATACGAGCAGGCGTTAGACAATTATAACGTTTCCTTTGCGTTGATGATTAGCACAATTCCTGAGCGGTCAAGGAGCTCAGCTATTGTCTTGAACAACATAGGCTGTGTAATGGAAGCGAATGGCCAACCTCAAGCAGCATTGCAATACTATGAAAGAGCTTTGGAAATAAGGAAAGATCTATCGGAACCGAATGATTTAGACACTGCAGCGACCTTAAATAACGTTGGGAATATCTATTATAAAGATGACAATCTGAAGACGGCTTTGACCTATTATTCAATCCAGGGCATTGAAAACTGCCAAGTTAACTGCCAGTTAACTCCCGGTTAATTGCCAGTTGACAGGCAGTTTACTGGCCGTTTTTAGACCTTTCAGACAGCTTTTAGGTGGTTTTTTGATGGTTCGGATGGTATGGTTTTACCACTGTAAATAGATGGTTTTTCAACTGCCTACAAACTGCCAGTAAACTGCGTTCTCATATATCAAATTTTCATCAGAAACTTGACCGTTAAAAGACGGTTTACTGGCTGTAAATAGGCAGTTTTCAGACAGTTTGAACTACCAATTTACGGCGCTAAAACGGTCTACGTTAAATAGACGGTTTTTAGGACATTTTTAGGCAGTTAACTGTCAGTAAATGGTTTAAAAACAGCCAGTAAACCGTCAATAGAAAAGAAAGAAAAAAAGAGTGATAACGTCAGATGTAAGGATTGAATCTATGTCTGACAGATTAGTAGTCTGCCACTCTAGCCACACTCTAAAAAACAAGGTATCCTACAAAACCAAAAACAGGGTATCTGCATTTGTTACTACTATCCATTTCAAAATAGAAAAAGGATGGTCATTTTCTCAATAACTTTTTCTAGGAAGCAGCTAAAAAGTTGCGGTTTTCGCTGTTCAAAAGAAAAATGTTGGGGCTACAAGAAAAACTAAAAAGTTTTGTCCCAAAATTACCTGCAGGTGGTGTACCTT